AGCTAGGATATATAACAAAAAGTATAGAAAAGTTCAGTTCAGGAAAAACTTATAAAGAGCCGTGTTTTTACGGGTCAGATCAGCTAGTGTAGCTCTAACTATATTTAAAAATCAAGTATTTCTTAAGGATTACTCTGAATATGCTTACGAATTACTTGTTTTATTTGTAAATGAAGGTAAAGTCTCTATGATAGAAGATTTCTTGTTTACAATGTTCACTGCCATATTCATTTATAAAAAGAGGTGCAGATTCTTGATCCATTAGATAATTTCAGCAGTTTTTCTTTCAAAAAATCATTTAGAACAGAAAAAAAGTAGGATTAGGAAACCACAATTTCCGAATCAGTAACTACTTCGAAGATTCGGAGAAAGGAAATTATGCAGTAATTTAAAAAAATGGGCAATTACTTGAATGAGTCTAATTCACTTAATGGTGAACGTTTTAATGGCATGGTTAGGGTTAGGGTTAGGATTAAAAACCTAATGGATTTGAACATGCAAAACAAATTTAAAAAGTTTAGTTAGAGATATGGCTTTTTTTAACATCCAATAGAGACAACTGTTTTATTACAAATGACAGTGTACCGTGTTGCATTCATAATATACTATTTATGAATAATAATGTTTTTTGTGAAAAATTTCTTTGTGAAATGATTTTACCTGTTTATAAAAGTTTTATGTTTCCAATTATATCCACAAATTTAGGCATTTGTAAAGTGTCTAGAAACAGTTTTTCGAAATTGTAACTTTTATTTGTTTTAATGGTTTCAAAAAATATCTTTGTCTCCCTACTTAAGTTGAATCAACAGACTATTTTATTTTACACCTTTTGCATTAAACTTTTATTTATTAATTAATAAATTAAAACATAAAGACTTTTTTTTTTCTTAACTACAATTTTACAAAAATCTTATAGTTAGATATATAAACTTTTAGTTAATAATTTTTATATATAATTCCTAATTATAGATGTTTATTCATAATTAATGTCTAAAGATGCAATGTAAAATGATTTGTGAAAAAAAAAATTTTAATTTTAACTAAAAATTTTAATTTATTTTTAAGTATATATACAGTGAGTAAAAATTTTATCCGTTTATTTAGGAATTGAACTTTCTTCATCAAATATTTATTTTCTTTAAAAAAATTAAGTTGAAAAAAATACCAATAGATAGAGAAAAATATGCTGTAAAATAACATATAACACTATTTTTACAAATATAATTTACAAAAATAATTTAAAAAAATAAAAATTAAATAAAAAATAAGCAAAAATTTATTTGCCAACTTAAATTTAAAACTAAATTAAGGTAAGTTTGCTTAATTAAAATGTTTCAAACATTGAATAATATTTTAATATTATTTTATTTTTATTTTTACTACAAATTTAAAAAAAATGGAACTAATTATTGTTTCTACGCTAAACAAAAAAACAGCGAATATTTAGATGACTTCCGTTTACAAACGCTTTATCGAGATGGAAAAAGTCAGCGGAGAATTGCAGGAGTTTTGAAAATGCCAAGAACATCGGTGCAATACATTATTAATAAGTTAAAAACCAGAAGAAGTAATATAGAAGGAAGAGTAACGACAAGAAAAATGGACGAAAGAACTGACCTGGTGAGACGCGTCAAAAAAAAAAAGAAAATTATCTGCGGTGAAGGTGTCCAATAGCCTGAAAGAAGAAAAAGGAGTAGAAATCACTTCACAAACATTCTGAAAAGACATGAATTAAATTTACATGAGCAAACACCACGAGGTCAGCCCTTCATTAGAAACAATAGAATGTTGTGTCTAAAATGGGCTAAAAGGTAAGTTGATTGCCCCGAATAATTTTAAAATAACGTATAAAGGACGGACGAAAGTAAATTTATTATGTTCGGGTGCGATGAAGTAAGGAAAGTGTGGAGAACGCCAGAAGAAAAGTTTAAATATTGTGATTGAAATGAACTGTCAAACACGGTGGTGGCAACGTGATAATGTGGAGCGCATGATTGCTGCGGGGTAGAAACTTTACAAATAATCAATGAAAGAATAGACCAGTATGTATATAAAACAAAATGTAACATCAAAATGAATTGAAAAGTATAATACAGGAGGCGTGGGAGAGACTCGGCCATGATGTAACGGAAAAGTTAGTTAATTCTATGCATAAACGTGCATAGCTGTCATGAAAGCAACCGGAGGGCCAACAAAATACTTATTTAAATAATAACAAATTTTTATAATTTTTATAAACAAATAATTTTTTTGCATTAATCTTTATATGATTCAGTAAAATATTGCATAACTAAATTAATAACTATTTTTGTTACTTTTTGTTATATACATATACATATTTTTATTTATTTTAAAATAACTATTTTTCTGTTTTTTCGTTTTATGTTGAATATTATCCTTTTTAATGTATTTTTTCTTTCAATTTGATGAGTGGGTGGAAATTTTTTTTGCTCATACATAAATGACCTAGTAAGTCCCCATTTTTAGGCACTTTCGTCCAGATTTTTTTCTGAATATTTAAATACTTTTTTTGATCCATATTTCCATCAATAAAAACCAAGTTTCTCAAACCTAAAGTACTTATACACCCCCACACTAAAACACTTCCTCCATCATGCTTCACAGTTAGGCACAAATATTGTTTTTTAAATGTTTCATTTGGCTTCCAGATTGTCTGGGGTTTATTTTTATGAAGCTTTGCAGTTTACAAGCTTTACACAAAGTGTATTAGTTTGGGCTTTGTTGACTTTGCTGATGTAGGGCTTTTTCAATGGTACTGTACCATTTAAAAGAGCTGGGTACCATTGTAACATGCTCTTTTTAAGGTATTGTTACAGTTTCAGGATTCATTTTTAAACTGTAATTATTTTCAAGAATTCCAGCGATACTGTATTTAATTTTCAATTCATTATTTTGTAAAATCTTTTTTTGCAACTCTTATTGAATTGTTAAATTGAATAATTAAGATGATATTATGCTTATATCTTTGCTGAATAAAAAATTATCGTATCTGAAAAAATGTGCAGGATAGGTGGATGAAAACTTTTTTGAAAGAGTGTTTTATGATTTATAAAGAACTTTTCAATTACGAATTTGTTTACTTACAAAATTGCTAAACCATAAATTTTAACTGTAAAGTCAACATTTTAATTATATTTTCATTAATTGAACAACATTAGATTATTTATACTTATTGAAAATCAATCCTTTAAGTTTAAGAAATAAACATTTGTATTAACAGGAACTTCTGTTACAAAACTGTTCAAATACGAAAAGATTTAAGAGAAAAAATGTTAAGAGAAAGAGAGCAAGCGTTTATCTCCTACAACAAACTTATCATTCGTGAATTGGCAGAAAAGAAAGTTGACGCGAAAAATCGCCAAATATAAATAATTTTTTTTTTTTTCTTGATACTTAATATTTTACGGAGTATTTTTAATTTAAATGTAAAACTTTCATTTTATGCTTAAATTCTGACAGAAATTCTTTAGTTCTAAATTTAAAAACTAAAAAATTGATCCAAAACATGTAAACAATTTTGAGTTGATTTTTTTTGACCTTCATCAAACAATAAACAAGCAAACTGATTCAATTTATTTTAGTAAAGCTGGTGTTTTGTTAATAAATTGTTCTTATTTTTAGGACTATGAGCTAAAAAAATTTCGTAAGCGAGATCGCTTAAATGTGTTCTTGTGTAAACATAAGAATTTTTAAAAAGAATTTTGAAAATAGTAAGAATAATACTAAGGAAACTTTAAACATTCTTAACGTTATATGCCTAACAGAAACTTTGTGTAATTTGATAAGGCTATATCTAACTCTAATCTTAACCTCCTTGGTTTTAATCCTGTATCATTAGCACGCAAAACAAAAAAAAGAGGCAGTTGAGTACTTTTTAATGCGGTTTATACACAGGCCTTACATAAGTACTTCTGATGCTGATAAAGAGTTTTTAACATTTTAAATTTTAGTGAAAAAAAAGTTTATATATACTTTTAAGTTGCTGTAATGACCCACTATCTGGTGGAAAAAATAGTTTCAAGTCCTTTTTAATTACTGATATTATAAAAAAATATAAAACTGATAACATAAATTTAGATATATTAAAGTATCATGTAAATTCCAAAGTCATTAGTTTTTATAATGATTTATTTGAAAAAATTTTAATTTCCGCGCCTATATGTCCTAATAAAAAATAATGAAACTAAACTTTCTAGCTGTTATTGTGTATTTTTTTTATTAAATATAACTAACTAATAAATTTTTTTGCTTTTCTGATACCAAACAACAAAATAAATTTTCAATAAAAATGAGGTAAATATTTTTTGATTAGTAATTGCTATTAATTAATACCAAAGTAGGTACTAATTTATATATATATATATATATATATATATACATATATATATATATATATATATATATATATATATATATATATATATATATATATATATATATATATATATATATATACATATATGTATATATATATATATATATATATATATATATATATATATATATATATATAAATACATATATATATATATATATATATATATATATATATATATATATATATATATATATATATATATATATATATATATATATATATATATATATATATATATATAATATATATATATATATATATATTTATATATATGTGTGTGGTGTATATATATATATATATATATATATATATATATATATATATATATATATATATATATATATATATATATACATATATATATATATATATATATATATATATATATATATATATATATATATATATATATATATATATATATATATATATATATATGTATATATAAAAACTGTAGAAAAACTTGGTGTGGAATAAGCTTAAAAAGACCCGTATTTTTATGGTCCAGTTAGTTAGTTTTATATTATACCATAGTACTAAAAAATGTAAAACAAATAAAAAATAAAATAAAAACTTAATAGGCTTTTAAACTAAAAGTTACCTTCAAATATATCAGATTCACCGCAATTTTTTTGACTTAATGCCATTAAGTGAATGCTATTGATTGATTTAATGTAGCTAAAAATCTAAAATAAAATTATATTTGTTAAATAGTAAATAAATAATAATGTTCAGTTGCACAGTTTATAGTGTACTGAATCAAAACCAATAGGTTCGTGTTTCAACGCCAAGTCTAGCCAGCTACTCGATGTTGTTAAAGAATAAACAATTAAAGTTTCATTTTCATTTTGTTTTAGCTGCTTTAAGAAAGCATCATAGTACTATTACTGAGAACTAAAGAAGTGCATTTAACTGAAAAAGAATTTTTAGTTTCAAGGAAGAGGCAGAGCCTATACCTAAAAGGAAAAAGAAGAGTTTATACCCAGAAAATTTTCGGTTTTTTCCACAATTTGTGGTAGAGCATTTAACGAAAAAAGTCTTTTGTATAAATGAAGCTAAACATGCCCATAGCACACATTAAGGTGGTAAAGTAATGAGAAAAATTTTTTTTATTCAAGTTTTACAAATGTTTTCTTTTTTTAAATTGTAAGTTATTATTAGAAAGCTGAAAAAATTTTAAAAAGTGAAAAAAAAAATTTTTAGTTATTGTTTGTTAACCATTAAAGGTCAAAAAATAGGATAAAGGGCGACAAAGATTTTTTTAGCAACCGTTCATAATTTATGATTGAAATCGCGGACTATAATATTTTTGTTTGGTCCAAAACTCAATAAAAAATTAACATTTTTGTAAATTTAGGCAAAAATGGAGTAATTTAAGGGCACAAAAAAAAGTTTGGTAAGCTCACATAAACAACAATTTTGCCTATTATTTATTAATGTCATTCCAAACTCATTAAAAAAGTTATTTAAAAATTGTTGTCCATCATAGATTTTAGATTAGGTGATCCTAAATCATTACTTAGTGCAGTTCTTTCAACATATATACAGTTTTCAAATCTCGTATAATTTGATTTAGCGATTAATTGGAACTCCGTTTTTTGTAACATTTTTCAGAAACATTTTTCAGAAAAGTTATCAAAAGAAATGAATATAAGTTTTAGTTTAATAGTGTACACAACAGCTAAAACCTGTTTGTTCACATACAAAATTGATGGCAATCTTTTACCTAATTTACGAAATGCTAAAACATTAGGGTTTATGTCAAGTGGTCAAACACACATTTAACTAGATCACTTTATTTTGCATTAGAGTTCTTTTTAGCAATAGTAAAATCTTATGGTAAAGTTAAAATTTTCATTTATAATTAAAAAAACCTTTACAACTTCTTTGTTTGATAACTTATTAAAGGAGGATAAGCCTGGATTATTTTCAATTGAACTTTAGTCTAAAAGTCTAGCAGAGCTTCAGACATATTTCGCATCATGTTAAGGAAGGAGGCGTGAACTTCCTGATTAAATGCTCTTCCGCGGTGCTCTGCGAGAAGACCGAAAGGACTTTTTGGGACACCTAAATAACAAATAAAAAAATAAAGTTTTTTTAATAATATAAACACTTTATTCACTGTTTTTATTAAGTTTATTTTTACATTTGGTAAATCTTTTTTAAAGATATTTTTCTTTCTGATCCATCTATGGCACTTTTATTAATTCAAGATATAAAAAAAAAACTAGAGTCACAAAACACCTTGACGAGAACATAAGTAGTACAAATAGCTGTCTTGTGCGCAATAAACGCGGGTAAACCAAATCAATAAAAAAAGAAATAGGTGAATAACATTACTTTGTTTTTGTGGTATATTTCCTTGCAAAAATGCATTTTGTGGTATATTTCATTGTAAAAATGCATAGCAACAAAAAAACCAAAGCGTTGCTATGGATAAAAAATAATACTTTGTTATTTTAAACAAAGATTAAATGTACATAGCAAAGTTTTTTTTTAATCCAGGAAAAAATTTGGATTGATATAAAAAATTATATAAAAATTTAAAAAATTATATAAAAATGAATTAAAAAAAAAAAAAAAATTAATTTTAATTACTTTATTACCCCTTAAATTCTCTTATAACTTGCGTAGAATCTAAACAAAATTTGCATCTAAACAAAGTTTTGTTTATTTTGATTCACCTTCAATATGGCTAAGAGCAACCACAATTAAGTTAAGAGTTATTGGAAAACTGTTCAAGTAACTCTTAAATTAATATAATGTTCCAGGTCATATTAGCCGAGAAAATTAGAATGATGGGAGAGAGTCTTATAGCGTTGATGTACTGGAAAATAAGCTACACAAATAAAAGTTTTTAGACCATTCAGAGACTGTTGGTGTAAAAGAATGAATCTTTTTTAAATGACGAGTCTATCACAAATGAGTTTTGGTTGATGGAACTAGATATGATAGCTCCTATGAGTAGCAGCCATTATAGTATTTATTTAAAAGAGAAAGAGATAAATTACTGCAAAGGGATAGAAGCTTTAACCAGGCAAATTTAGCCGTTGAAATTTGGCAAATTTAGCCGTTGATCAAGCATTTAATTTATGCCTTTTTTAAATATCTGATAAAAAGATCCTCTTGATCTTTCTTAGATTTTTTTAGATTATCAGTTAGATTTTTTACTTATCATTTTTAAAAAAGTTTATTAGTATTTCTTTTATTGCATACTTGTTGAATACTTATTTAAAACCCTGACTACGAGATCCTGGCAAACTTCTTTGAGATACCTTGTTTATATTTGTTACATTTTCTATCATTGTATGTATATATTTTTTTATTATTTATATAAAGTTGCACAATGACCAACAATTATAAATTGAGAAAAAAAAAAAGATAAAGTTGGTCTCACTATGTTTAAAATACGTTTTCAGAACTTGTCTAAAAATGAAAGAGCGTCATTAGTAGATCAAGCTCGAATATTTGGTATTTGGGCTAGAATATTTGGTATTTGGGCTAGACGTAGAATATGGAATAAGTACTAAAAATTAATAATCACTGCTAGCTCTAATCTGTTACAAAAGCAAGATCAGTATCAAGACTTACTACTTGATCTAAGCAATCAAAAGAGAACATTTAGTGTAAAGAAAAGAAAATAAAGTTTAGTTTTCAGCAAGGTTAGAAATATGATTATCAGGAAGATCATTAATATAGATAAAAACAAAAGAGCACCAAGGACAGAACTTTAAGGTACTCCAAAAGTTAGTCAAACAAAAACGTCAAAAAAATTGGCGCGACAATCATATCAGATCAAATAAAGATGTAATTTTCACATATTTTGATGAGCAACTGCTAATCGGCAGAACGTAATCAAAAACGTCAAAACAACATTGGAGCAATGTCCGCATTTTTAAGTTTTGTTTACGTAGTGCAGATGAGGACCCGACAATAAAAGTTACATAAATCTACTTAAAAATACTCATATAAATAGTTATACATACATAAATATAAAACGAAATAATTTTTGCAATTTCCTAACAACTTCAATTTTTTTTTTAATTAAATAAAAAACTTCATTTTGTTTTTAAAACTTTTTAACACCATTGAATAATTAATTAAGTTAAAGCGCTCCTGCTAAAAAAGCGTCATCATAGCAACGTTTCACGTTTGTCTTTGTAATAAAAACGCAACCCATATTAAAATATTCAAATTAAAAATTTGGGAAGATAAAAAAAGGTGAAGAATAAAAACATTTTTTTCTCGTTTGAAGAGCACCAAGTTTTCATAAATTAAAAATTACAGATTTATTTATAATTTACAAAATTGTATTTTGTGTCACTCATACAGTTAAAAACTAGTCAATAGACACTTTGATAAAATAAATAAATAAAATAAAATATCTGTTAGGACAATAAAAAACATACTAATAAAAATATTATTAAAAAATTGAAAGCAGAGCAAATATATTAAAGGAGTAAAGTTAACAATAACAAAAACTTATTGAGACGAACAGGTGAAAAAAAATATACGAGAAAACACAAATTAAATGATATAAGTTTATAAAATTACAGTTGGGGAAATCATTTTCCGTAATCAACATAAATAAGCAAAATAAATTCAATCTTCCATTAAAAAAAACATACTACTACATACAATATTAAACCCTATATAGGTTACATTAAGTAGCTAAACAAAAGTAAACATCAAAATATAGCAATCACTACTAAATCGGCAATGAAAAATGTAAAAAAGTAAATACATTTAACATTATTTTTAAGCATTAATACACGGCATATAAGAAATGTAAATAATCGATTAAATGTGTTGTTTTTTTTCCATAAAAATATAGTATTAAAAATGCTGCTCTTCTATAAAAAATTAAAAAAACCATAATTTTATTTTAGATTCCTTATAGTACAGTAAAATATTCCGACTTTTTTTAGGACAGAAGTTTTTATATAGTGTTAAGTAATGATTTAAAGATATTATTGTTACCGTCCGTGAACATGTTACTAAAAAAGTTACCATAAAAGTATGGGTTCTCATCTAAAACAATGTATTTACTTTAAAAGATAAAGGCTAAAAATTGAAAGTTGTTTATTTTTGAAATTGTTTTAATACAATTATAAAGGTGAAATATTTTTTTAATAAAAATACCCACATGTGTTTTTATTAAAAATATTTTTCTCCTTTTTTGAACACATTAAAAGTTAATTATATATCTACAAACACAATTACATTGTATAAAATATTTCTCAATCAAATAACTTTTATTAGTCACCAAGTTTGATATAAGTTATATGTTTTCAAAATTAAAAAAATGTTTTAAACATAATTAAAAAAGTTAATTGGATTTAAACAAATATTTTGAATAATTATTGAATATTTTGGTTAAATAACTCATGAAACTTTGAACAGTAAACTGTACATTATACCTTTATTATTTATAAAAAAAATTGGTTATAAAAAAATCATGGTCAACCTTAGGATTAGAAATAGAAACAAGAGCATCTGTATAATAACGTCCTAATTAGAAAAAGACGTCGAGCCGTTGTTTCATTTTGGTTAGATTATGGTTGCGACGCAAGTTAACTAAATTCCAACGATGTTCCAACGTTAGCATAACGGTGTTATTTAAACGTTTGTCTATCAAACGTTTGAACAACGACGGAAAAACGTTATCATCTAACGTCTTGAATGT